ACTAGCTTACCCGTCGCGCATTGCTGCGATCTCAGAAGAAACGAAATTCAAGCAAACTCGTTATGATAAAATTAAATTTACATTTTATCATTTTTATTGAAACTTATTATTATTATTCGTTTTCATCGGGAAAACATTTCAAAGTGTTGTTTCAATTCTATTTATTTATATCTATCCCAATTTTTGAAAAAAAATTTTATCAGTATTATTGTTATTTGCTGTAGTTAAGCAGCTTTTACATGTATTCACATAAAATATTTTAATTGTATGATTCTTTTAAACTTCTCTTTTTTCTGGTATGCATTCTAATTTACTAATAAAAGTATGCATTCTAATTTTACTTCTTTTTTAAAACCAGAATACAGTAAAAAAATCTAGGACCAAGTGCCAAAAGCACACGATGCCTTAACTTAAGTACACTAAATACTTTCCCTAAATACTCTATGCTGAAATGGGATGCATCTTATATGCCATAAAATATTACATATGTAATTGGTTGATTGGTTAAGGGTCATTTTGGCCATGTTACAGGGTTAATACAACTAACAATATCAACAGATGATCAGCACATCTGGAAAATTGTGTAGCAAGTGTTGTCTCAATTATTTTAATGAAATATATAAACTAATATATGCTGATAATGTTGTCATGCATCTATTTCTCCTTCCATTAATCTTATCTTTTTGGTTTTGTTACCTCTCATAAAAAGTGCTGTCTGGAGGTAGTGAGACCAAAAAGATTTAATAGAGGGAGGAGAAATGACTCTGTATTGATCAATATTTCTCTCTCTTTAAAATATTTATGCTACTTGTACATTTGAGTTTGGTTCATGCATTCACTACCAAGTACTTCTCAGATAAATCTCATATNGTATACCATTCTTTCTTGTCACTAAGAGCAATCAATAATTAATTAACAATCACAATTAAAAGTACTGTATTACACATTAATATTAATTTTAGTTAAATGAGGGCATTTCTTTTTACAAAGTAACATCGTCAACAAAAACAACAATGACAATCTTAAGGACTGAAAGTCTGAAAGCAACAACAAAGACACCTGATTGATAGGAAAGTTAGTGGAAGTTTTTCTTCCTTGTCTTATTGGTTTTCATTAAAGTAAACCTGACAAAAAGCACAAAATAATTTGAAAATTTCAACATTCTAAAATGCATGAGCAAATTTGATACATGTGTGCTGATTTGAATAAAAAAAAAATCAAATAAAGTTAACATTTAAAAATTGTGAAATTTTGTATGGAGCATTTCCAAAACTGTGTTAGAGAGAAACCAGTTGTTGTATGGAGGATATCCTCAATTTTCAAACCGTGCTGTACGAGGGATATTTGTTTACATATATATGGTTGATATACATTTAT